GAGGTTTAGAGAAATTGGGTAGTTTTCTCAAGGTAACATGTTTAATAAATGGGAGAGTTAGAATTTTAATGGAGGAATTTGGGGCTTTCAGTTCTAGTTCTCTCTACCAAACTGCTTATTTACCAAACTGCCTATCTGTTCAGTATCATATCTTACTATTTTTATTCCTGATCATCTGGGAATCAAAACTGCAACCTTTTTGGTGTACAGTATGACGTTCCAACCAATTGAGCCACCAGGCCAGGCCTCTTATACTTTTTTAAATATTTTTTATTGATTTTTTTACAGAGAAGAAGGGAGAAGGATAGGTAGAAACATCGATGAGAGAGAAACATTGATCAGCTGCCTCCTGCACATCCCCAACTGAGGATGTGCCCGCAACCAAGGTACATGCCCTTGACTGGAATTGAACCTGGGACCCTTAAGTCCGCAGGCCAATGCTCTCTATCCATTGACCAAAGCCTGTTAGGATGGCCCCTTCCACTTTTAAATACATGGTTAACTCCTATTTTCCTTAAAAAGTATCATCATATAATAGGTTTCCAATAAATTCGTTCTCCTATAAAATTTAGATATTTAATATAATTAACTGGCTTTAATTATAAATGAAAATATATTCTCTAAGTGTTTGTTAGTAAACTGAGGTCAACTTGTAGTGATGTGCATAACTACACTAGAGAAAGATTTTAACACTTTAAACATGGTCTTCCAAATACATTTAATACACATAACAGTCTTCTTTCAGAATTTCAAAAAAGTGTCCATTTCTTAAGTGGTCTTCTTAGTCTTGTCAAGAGAGAGGTATTTATGTCATTCACCTGTAGACATTGCTTTCAATCAATGAATTGAAACTTGCTGGACTAGCCTCGTAGGAAAAGGGTTGTAAAAGGTTATTTCTACAGATGAGGCATTGTTTTTATAAGAGTTGTGATAAAAGGAAAAGATGGTCAGTACAAGAAGGCTTTTTTGTGTGTGATAATACAAAAAAAATACACACAACAAGCAAATCTAGGTGGAAAATTGTATCAGAAAGTTGTATCAGACTACTTTGATTTTTAAAGCATAATTTTAAATAAATGCATGATAATTGTGGGAAATTATTGTGGAGCTTTCAAGAATGGCATGAGATCCAGATAGGAGTAGCAAACTGAAGGAAAAAGCATCTGCAGACTTTGAAGAAGTCTCCTGTGTTGAGAGGGCCACATGGCAAAAAACTACAAATAGTATCCGGGCGCTGGCCCCTGGCTGATGACCATAAAGAACACAGAGAACTGTCCTACAATCACAAGAAAAGAAATCCGTCAATAATCTTAGGGACCTGGAGTGGATTAGTCCCTAGCCTACCTTCCAGAATATTGTGACTCTGTTAAACTAACTTTTGTTAGGTATACCCTAGCAGTGGTCGGCAAACTCATTAGTGAACAGAGCCAAATATCAACAGTACAACGATTGAAATTTCTTTTGAGAGCCAAATTTTTTAAACTTTAACTATATAGGTAGGTACATTGTTATTAACTTAATTAGGGTACATTGTTATTAACTTAATTAAGGCTTAGGAAGAGCCACACTCAAGGGGCCAAAGAGCCGCGTGTGGCTCGCGAGCCGCAGTTTGCCGACCACGGCCCTAGGGTATTGGTGGTGAGCCAGACTTCAAGGAGAGATCACTGAGGGAAGTGAAAATAGAGAAGTTCATTGCTCACAGATCCTGGGGCAGCTGCAAGGCACACCTCCAGAGCCCATGTGGTGGGAATGTCAAGGCAGGGTGCAGGCCGACAGAGCACATCAGAACCTGTGGCACATGCCTTTATTAGGGTCTATGGGATGGAGGGCTTTGGACTTCCTAGCTAAGGGTGGATTGATCAATTCAAACCCCAAAGGGCACTAGTTTTATAGGCTTCATCTGGATCTTATCAAAGAGATGCACAGAGACAGGCCCTAGGAGGTGGGGTACAGTGCTTATCACAAGGGAGTTTGGGGAGTCTTATCAGCAATTGATGCTTACCTGGGACTCTGGAGACTGCTCTCTAGGGCATGAACTCTGGCAAAGGGCTAGTGGCATTTCAAGGCTCCTGACCACACATGTGGATACTGAGGCAGCAATATTATGTAGTTTAGCTAAACTCTCAACATAGATGCAATGCAGCCTGACTGGACCCTGATTTCAGCCTTCTGAGATCCCGAGGGAAGGGCCAGCTAAGCTACGGTTGAACTCCTGACCACAGAAAATGTGAAAGAGTAACTGTGTGCTGTTTTAAGCTTCTATATTTGTGGTAGAAAACAAAAATGAGTCATTTGAACAATTTTGACAAGAGGATGGTGTGGTGGTGGTTACATAACGTAGGTAAAACCAAATGGGGACTTCATCCCCTGACTCAAAAAGATTGATTTAGAGATGGACTATGAAGCAAGCCAAGTAAATCAAAATTCTTTTAAAGGATAGAACTAAACCTTTTATGCCAGTTATCATGCTACCTGGGAAGAGCAAAAATGTGAAAATATGTTATATGTTTCTCTATCCAGCTACACATTCTGGAAGAGAAAATACATGCTTTGCCAATGAAAGAGTCATAGCTTATACAAACTTACATTTTGGGTCTATTGTCTTTTCTCAACATGTCCTTAATAATAATGAAATTCTGGCCAAGTTTAACTAAATGCCATCTCCTGAACTCAGCACTTATATTTGATTTCTGTATTTTGCTCTACGAGTTTCTTCCACTGCAGTGCACTACCTTGTGTATACTTTTCCTTGACTTTTCCTATCATCTTCATATCCATTCTTCAGTGATAAGAGTTGAAGTTGCCTGTCACCAGAATGTCTTTGCTCAAAAATTCAAAATACATTTCTAGAATAATTTTACCTCAGTCATGCAAATTAATTCATCTTATGGAACTTAGTAAGAATGTCTCTGTGACTTAGTACAGGATTATTTTTTATAATTCCTCCTAGCTTATTTGAAAAGAATATATATTCTGGTTTTAGTCTTTTCTTTTTAAGTACTTTTTATCTACTCAAAATTTTTTTTTAAATCTTTGTTGAAAGTATTACATTCATTCCCCCTTTTCCTCCATTGACCTCTTCTAATCCCTCCCCCTACTCCAGGCCTTCACCACGTTATTGTCTGTGTCCATGGTTTAAGAACTGTTTATAGAATTTCAGTTTTTCAGTTCTGATGCAAGTGTATTGTCTTTTAAATCTTAAAAATATTTCCTACGTTGATAATTTTAAAGGGTTAACATCTGAAGTATGGAGAAATGAATGTGTGATTCTAAATATAGTTTTAATCAAGCAAAATGGTACCATCTTGACTTTTGCAAATGGGGAGTATACTACACAGATACACAGGGCTACCAAAACAGGATGCAAAATACCTCCTCTCACTTTTGGTGCTCACTACACTAGTGACTCAGGCATTCTGATGCTGACCACGATCCTGGGACCTTTAACAGAATATCCTAATTCTGATTAAAACATTGAGTTTCGCTGGTTTGATATATAGAGCTAACAGTCTACACATCTCATCCCATACTCTAAAAATTTCATACTTGTGTACTTTTCTGCTTCATCCTCTAGACCCGTGGTCAGCAAACTGCGGCTCGCGAGCCACATGCGGCTCTTTGGCCCCTTGAGTGTGGCTCTTCCTAAGCCTTAGGAGTACCCTAATTAAATTAATAGCAATGTACCTACCTACATAGTTTAAGTTTAAAAAAACTGGCTCTCAAAAGAAATTTCAATCGTTGTACTGTTGATATTGGGCTCTGTTGACTAATGAGTTTGCCGACCACTGCTCTAGACTATAAAATCTTTCTGGTATCGGGCTACCATCAGATATCCCTGGGTGTGCTTGTCTTCTCAGCTGTACCCCGGGAATAAGCACTTATTTTTACTCAGTACATCTTTGTTACATAAAACAAAAACAAATGAAGGGAGCTGTATGGACAGCTCAGAACTGAAGCCTAAGGAAAATGTTTCCCCTTGGCAGCACCACCTGGGGTTCGCCATGAAGTGAATAACAGTGAATGAATTTGCTGAGGAACAGGAGGTAAAAAGCAACAACAAAACAAAACTTTATGTGACAGCAGCTATGCAGTGCACACTCATACTGATATTTTAAAATCAATCCTTAAGACCTTACTTGACTGACGTACGCTGAACTTTACTATGATATATGCTCTATAAGGGCATGGACTTTGTAGATAGTGTTTACCGACTATCCTCAGCCTCTGTTCTCAGCATATGTTAGGACCTTGATTAATATTGATTAAATGGATTAATGGATCAATCATTACATCAAGGATTAGAAATCCAAGTTAAATAATAGTTTGCTAAGAAAACATTTTCCGTATTTGTTACATAAATTTCTATGTGTCATCTAATGCAATAAAACCCAGAAGTGAATTTGAAAAGCATCGATTTTTATTTCTTTGTAAAAAGTCTGGGTTTATATTAAGGAAGATTCACTCCTCACCTCTGAATTCTGACTTTGTTTGTATCTGTGTTCCACTTAGTCTTCAAACATAACAAGTCCAACCCTAAGGTCATCATTTTACACTCAAAATAGCTTTCCCTTCTTATCTTCTTCATTCTACTCGAGGCATTACAAATCCTGCAAACTTAGGATAATTTTCAAATGTTTTTTGCTCCATAATATTCAGCGAATTGTCTTAGGCTTTGAGGATATCTGCTAACCACATTCATATTGACAACAACCCAATTAGATGGGAAAGAACTCAGTCTGCAGATGGGGAAGTGGGGAGTCACTTCCCCAAGGAAGGTGTAAATAACCATTATTCATGCCCAGACCCAGTCCCAGTGTCCCCAGTAGCTCTTTCTATGGCATTCCCTCTCATATTTTACTTTTTTATCCTGGTATCTTTTAATGCATATAATCTCCTGTATTTTAATTTTACTAATCTTGTGCTGTAGCTGAACTGTTTCATTTGTGCTTATCATCTCTCCTCAGAAAGCTCTTTGATATCTCAAAGGAAGGCTCTCTCTGGCCAACTCTGAAAGGTGAATACCTGTAGCATTTTCCTTTTACCATGTTAGTTCCTGACACTTCCTTTCAGGGCAATTACCATTCTTTTGAAACAGCCTTGTGATCATAAAGAAATCCCTAGTAGGTATCTAAAGGCTCTGTTTTAAGTTTTTTCATTGTAGTTGACATGTACATCAAGCACAGCTCTAGCCATCAGGCTGAGTTACATTGTCACTAATCTCTGTGAACACGTAGTCAAGTTGAAAAGATACAGAAGAAAACGGCAATTTCAAGGGAATCTGACAGAGATAATGTAATAGGCGCTGTGATCCTGCAAGGCATCATATGATACCTGTAGGGGGACCAACCTTAATGTGGAGAAGCCTTGAAAGTCTTTTTTTTTTGGGGGGGGGGAGAGGAGAGAATACTTTTTATTGAGATAAATTTACATAACATTAAATCCATCACCTTAATCATTCAAAATTTACAATTCAGTCAGATGTAGTCTAGTCAAAATACTGTGCAGCCATCATCACTCTATAAGTCAAAAAAATTTAACATCCCCATTAAGAAGTCATTCTTCATTTCCCCCTGTTCCTTTCTCCTGAAAACTACTAGTCTATTCTGTGTCTCAATGAATTTGCTTATTCTGGACATTTCATATAAATAAAAACATATAAATAGATTACTCTTTGTCTAGTAAGTTCAATGTTTGATCTACCTTAGGGACAGTTTCTATTTATTGCCCTTCTGTTCATAGGCCATCCTTTCTTGTTTATTTGCTTGCATCCTATTTTTTTGTTGAAAACTGAAATATGCTAATATTAAAATCTAGACAAGTGGCATCTCTGTAAATCAGTTACCCTTCCTCCCCAGGTTTGTTGTTTCTCCTATAGCCATTGCTATTGTTTACTTATGTGACTTTTTCTAAACTAATTTTGTTAAGTCTCTGTTCTCTGTCATGTGTTGCCACTAGCGTCTCTGCTCTGTTAGTCTAGTGGTGGGATGGAAATTGGACCGAGATTTGCTTGCAGACCTGGAAACAATGAACTCCCAGTGTTTGCTGCTGGCCTCTGTATGCATGTTGGTCATGCCTTCAACACGGCCAGGCAGTTTACAACTCTGCCTTAGCCTTTGCTTCCTCTCTGTGCAGCACCTGAAGAGCAGTCAGAGGTGAGAGGTTAGGACCATTTTTGTTTTTTCTTGAGCATTTTCCCCGCTCTGAGATTTCACGTGGTCTTCTAGACTCCCAGGAATATGTTGGAGCTTTAAAAAATGTTTATTACCCCGATGCATCTTATTCCCCAGCTTTTCCTCCTAAGCTTTTTAGTTAGTCAATGATGTGTTCCAAAGATTATTCATTGTCCCAGTGAACAATGGCTAATACATCTCCCTTTACTTGACCAATATCCTAAATATCTGCCCCAGCACCA